GGGACCCGTTACCCTTGCGTGGCCCGCGGTCGCCGGGGACGGAGCCGTTGGCGCTCGCTTCCCGATAGACCTTAGAACTCGGGCCCCGGCCGCTCGTCGCGTAGCTCGGCTCCTTGGGGTTTTTCAACAATTTGTATCTGAGCTTCCTTTTCTTGGCTCTCCAGCCAGTCATGGTTCCCTTGATCTCAGTCTTCACCTGTTCCTCACTTTCACAGAGGCTCCTCCTTATGGCCACCAGGCCTTGCATTTATCTCTTCTTTGAAAATAACACAGTTTTCCCGCCCTCTTCTTCGTTGCACTGGCCACAGAGCCTCGATTTTTCCTGGCACGAATTCGCGGCCAGTTCAACCTTCTGAATAGCTGGCCATGTGGCAGCGAAGTGGGTTTGCCCCTGTTTATCCCCGTGGCCGGCCTGGCTGGTTTAAAGCAATAAAGGTTTGAAGTCACGGAGGGAAAAAACTTGGGAAGGTGTGTCTTTGTTGTGTGCGTCTGGCCAACTTAACGCCCGTACGAGCCTCTGAAACCTGTGTGCTCCCCATGCTCAGTCTTGTCATTTGGGTTGTGTTGCGGTCGACGTCCCTGATTATTCTGAACTGTGATGCATGAATCTTCGATCCAGCTTGTTAAAACAAGTGGACGTCTTCAGGGGGCCATATTAAAAAATGTTTGCATTTTAATTAGGAAGTGACTTGTTCAGTCTCATTTAGGTCCTACTTATTTCTAAGTGGCATTGGACTTGATCTTTCAGAAATATTAGTGTAAAGGAGTGAAAAGTTGGCTCATTTTCTTTTTGAATCTGAGTTTTAAAACCTGAGCGATTCCTCTTGGAGTGCTGCACCTACACAGTTTGGCAAAGTCAAATCTGTTGAAGTACCTCAATTCTGGTTTCGTAGCTTATAAATGCTGCATAAATATTTCACACATGAAAACCACTTGTGGGAGAGTTTGTATGTGGCTTAATTTCCCCTCTCTCTAATAATTGATGGGAAAATGTCTTTGAAAGTTGTTGATACTTGCCCATAGGAAACGGGAGAAAAGGGGGAAGTACCCAGTTAGGTAGCCTCGCTTCTGAGTCACAGATCTGTCGACTGCACAGCCAAGTGTGGAGGAAGCGGAAACGGGTTTTTCAAATGTCTGGAAGGGTGGTAGGTGTGAGAAAGCACTGAGATGCTCCTGAATGCTCTCCTGGCACCTGCTCATGAATACTTTCAAAACTTGCCCCGGAGCAGGTGACCTTCTTGGTTGGCCTCCGGTTTTCTGTGGTGAGAGGTGTTCTTGTCTTCCATCCTTTAGCTGTGGAGGCTCTTACGGCTAGACATGCAGAGGCTGCCCCGAATCAGCTCTAGCCTGCTTGCACTCATTGCTAAAAGTAAAAACCAAAAAAAATTTTTTTTAATCCTCATTCAGGGGTATTTTTTTCATTGCTTTTCAGAGAGAGTGGAAGGGAGAGAAAAGAATCCGCGTGAGAGAGACACATCAATTGGTTGTCTCCTGCCTGGGCTGGGGATCAAGCCTGCAACTGAGGTACATGCCCTTGACAGGAATAGAGCTCGAGACCCTTCAGTCGGCAGGCCGATGCTCTCTAACCCTTGAGCCAAACCAGCTAGGGTGAAAATCAATTTAAAAGAACAGGTTAAATTGCAATATCAGAGCTGTGGCGCTTTAAAGATAGGGATAATCTCACTTCTATTCTGCTGTTCCCAATGAGTGTTCCCTCTGAACTTCTGATCTTTTTGTTTTTTTCAACAAAACAAATGATTTAGCATTACTTAATGTGGTATTTCTTACACCAGTGTTTGGGTGCTTTTACTCTCCCCTCTTCCAAAGGCCATGGCTGTGTCTGTCTACAGCTCAATGCTTTGCACATGGGATTATTGTTTGTTTTTTGGTTAATGAAATGAAGTGGAAAGCACAGAAAAGACAGGAGTTCTGTGTGATAGTGCTTGACCTTCTCAGCTGTCTCAAAAGCTCCAACTTTGTACAAAGCTTCCAGTCTACTATGGAAATGAACGTCAACCTCTACAGGAGAGTAGAGTGTTGGAAGAATCATAAGAGCTGTGCAAAGCTTTCTAGAATCACCAAGAAGTTAAAGCTCACTAACAGCTGAGGAGATGTGGATGTCTCTCAAGGACAGCCCCAAGCGAGATAAACCTGAAGAGGACCACATGAAGACACATCATAATTAAAATGCCGTAGGTTAAAGACAAAGAGAGAGACTCTTAAAAGCAGCAAGAGAAAAGTAGTTAGTTGCCTACAAGGGAGCTCCTATAAAGTCTTACTGACTTTGGACTAACATTGGGATTTTCCAGAGGGCCCTTGAAAAAAAATCACAAAAGATGTGTTCTCTCTTGTTACGAAAGAGACGTTAAACTAATTAGGCTTATTTGATATGTTAAATTATATGGGAAGCATTGTCAAATAAGAAGAGATGGTGGTTGGTTTGTTGTTTTTATTCCTCACCCAAGGATATTTTTCCCGTTGCTTTTCAGAGCGAGTGGAAGGGAGGGAGAAAGACATCCACTGGTTGCCTCCCGCACCCCCCACCCCCAGGGCCCGGGATTGAGCCTGCAACCGAGGCATGTGCCCTTGGCTGGAATTGAACCCAGGACTCTTCTGTCCGAGGGCTGGCACTCGAATCACTGAGCCAAACTAGGGCATGATGGTGATTTTCTTAAGGGTATATTTGTACAAAATTCTAAATGTTTGATATGTCTGGTACAGTGTTGTAAGTCATAATTTTAAAATGTTTGTCACTAAAGTCCTTGTTAATTGTATTATAATGAATTCTCATCAGATCTTTAAATAAGTAATGGAGATACCATTTTTAATAAAGTAAATAATTTCCATTACCACAAACGAATTTAGCTGCCTCTGGACATGGCCTTTTGCTTAGTTCTAATAACGTTACTTCAGGTAGGCGGTGGGCGCTCTGCATCAATTACGGTTGAGAGACTGTTAGACGTGGGCGGGGCCGGTCTTCAAGGAAACAGGCCCAGCGATGAGCTGCTCACGGTCACACTGCAAGGCAGTGATGGGGTTTGCAGCTAGAGCTAGCATTTCCTGCCTTTGCTAGACTGCAAAGCCTCTGTTCCAGTTCAGATCCATGCTGAGTTTCCAATAAAATATGTAGAAAAGTTAGGATGAAAATTCATATTTGTCCATCTAAATTGGTTGCCCCTAGTTTGGATTAGTATGAGTTAAATGAAAAGCTATAGGCCTGCAGTTTTCTTAATTATTTAAACTATAATTATTCTTCCTAGCTGTGGGATCTGTGAAACATGAGCTATTAAAGGGATGCACCCCCCCCCCAAATCAATGCATATATTAGATATGGAATTAAAT